GTCTCCTGCGGGTGAGCAGTCGGTCCCTTTCGCGGGCGAATTGACATGTTCGCTTGTTCCTTGCCTTCACGCTCCTTGTGTCCGCGACACCTGTGAGCCCGAAGGCGCCAAAGATTACCAGCCTGGAACATATCCCTATCCCTATGCTGGGCACCTCCTCATCACGATGCCAATCTTAGGGATTCCCTTAGTTTTCGAGGGCGAATCCCTGAGACTGTCATCGCCTCTTGGCGTGTCAATCTTAGGGATAGGGATACGTTCGGGGCTGGTAAAAAGATGCCACGAGAAGCGTCTCGACAGGAACTGCACTCCTTGGCTCTCGGCCCGTGTCTGACGTCCTCTGAGGCGCCGGCCCCCCAGAGCGCACGGCTTGACAGAGGCGTCGACGTTCGTAAAACATATTCGTCCTCCTCCTCCTCCTCCTGTTTCTCCTCCTGTCTCTCCTCCTCCTCCTCCTCCTCCTCCTCCTTCTCCTCCTCCTCCTCCTCCTCCTCCTCCTCCTCCTCCTCCCCCTCCTCCTCCTCCTCCTCCTTCTCCTCCTGTTTCTCCTCCTGTCTCTTCTCCTCCTCCTCCCTATTCTCCTCCTCCTCCTCCTCCCCGTCCTCCTCTTTCCCCCCCCCCAGAGATCCCAGCACTCTCTTGGCCCGTCTGGCCAGCGAATAGTGGCAGTGTGGGGCGGGCTTGTGTCTGGTTGGTTCGTGCGTTTCCTGGAATGTCTGAGAGCCTCATGCGTCGTCTCTGCAAGCTTCTCAGGCCGCCCTCGTTCGGGACATGCTGGCGCCTTCCCGAGCACGCGCAGGCAAGTCTTGGGGAACCCAGGGCTCCTCTGCATCCCCCAGGCCCTCTCAAAGGTTTTTCGCGCACGCACTGTCCGCTCCCCCCCTTTTTTGTTCCGAGGAGGAGAGGCTTCGGGAGAGGCGGACGTTCCTTGCGCCAGTACCCGACGGGTCGGCGGATTCGGTAAGCTGCGGGAGACGCGAGTGGAGCCGAGCACCGTTCTCTACAATAGTGGGCTCGGAGCATGTGAGGAAAGCGGGCAGTGGCAGCTGGCCATCGCGATGCTCGATGAGATGCCAGAGGTGACGCTTGAGCCGAGCATCGCCAGCTACCTTGCGGGAGCCAAGGTGTGCGAGAGAGGCGGGCGATGGCAGCATGCGTTGGCGCTGTTTGGCGTGATGCGGGGGGCGAAGCTGGAGATGAACGTCATCAGTTGCAGTGCCGAGTTGAGCGCGTGCGAGAAGGGCGGGCAGTGGGTGCAGGCGCTGCTTCTGGTTCGTGAGATGTGGGCGACGACAGTGGCGCCGAACGTCGTCAGCTACAGCACGGTCACCAGCGCTTGCGAGAGAGGTGGGCAGTGGCGGCAGACACTGTCGCTGCTCAACGAGATAAAAAGGGTGGCGTTGGAGCCGAACGTGTCTTTACAGCTGGCAAGACGTTCGCGAACAAGTCTAGCTTTTGATGGGTACATGGGTACCTTATGGTCTTCGTGCTGGGGCCCTTCACCATGGGATAGGGTCAATCCTGCGAAAGTGGCTCATGTTCTGTTACTAGACCGGGGGGGTGATACACCCAATGGTTGAACATTGAATGTGTTACAGTCCGACTTCAACGTTGGAGTTCTCAACCCCAGAATTGAAGTCCGCTGCCCCAAACTCAACGATGCAGCTTCAAATCCGCAGTTGTGATCGTGTAGTATGGATTCAATGGTCAGGTTTTGAATTCAGAATTGAAATATTGAGCTATTGAACTCTGAACGCAACTATTACCCATTAAGTTCAACATTGATGCCCAGGTTCGTCGGGCGGGCGGAAAAGGACGAGGATGTGGAGGAAACTTCGGTGGAGAATTCTTGTCTTCCTCCTTTTCTGTCTCCCCGTTCTCTTTCACCCAGTCCGCTCGCGATAGGAGGGGGCCGGGGATAGTTCCTGGCCTGGCTGGAGCGCCTGGGAAAAGCTGGGGTTTTCTGAGAATCTCGTGGTGCTTCGTCTGCCGGCTGTCTACAACAAGCAGTGGCGGTTTTTGATGAGGGAGGGGAGAGAAGACGGATCCGGCGCAATGGGAGTGATTCGTGGGCGGCCGCCAGTGAACCTGTGCATAAGAGGCGCTCATGTCACGCGCTGCCGATCTCTCTCTCTCTCTCTCTCTGCGTTCCCCGTGTCGGGTGCCATCCCCCGAGGGCGCGTACCTCAGTCAGCAGTGCGGGCGTGTTTGAAGTCGGGCCTGTCCCTCTACAGGAGGAATAGTCAAAAATAGTAAGAAAACAATGCTCTGGGCACGTTTTTTTGACCATTTAGGAATGTTTTTTGGATTATTTTGCATTTTTCGCCTAACATCCCCCTGCAGGGGGACAGGCCCGACCTAAGGCTTGTTGTGGGTATTATTCACGGGCTAACGATGCTTCAGCTACAGTGCCAGTATCAGCGCGTGCGGGAGCGGTGGGCAGTGGCAGTGGGCGCTGAAATTGATCGACGACACGCGCAGGTCGAAGCTCGAGCTGGATGTCATCTATCCTACAAAGTGGGGAGCAGCGCGTGGAGGGTGCACACCGTGGCAAAACCAGGGCGGGGGGGCGCTGGGAGGGCCCGCCAGGAGGGCCTGCGCCTCCACGATGGCCCAAGCGAGTCCAAGAGGCCTCCAAGTTCGCCGAAGCTGCCTCCAATCCTGTCGAGGACGGTCTCAAGATGGCCCAAGATGGCGTCCAGACGGCCTCCGAGGGCCCCAAGATAGCCCAAGACGGCCTCCAGACGGCCGAAAGGCCCTGCGAAAGGTCCCCAGAGCGCTCCAAGAACACTCCCAGCAGGGCCTCCCTGCGAAACAAGCTCAAGCTCTTTGATGGTTGTTCATACATGTTTAGCATACCCGACTTTTGCTGGGCCCTTGCAGCGTCCACGACGGCCCGACAGCCACCCGGATCGCCCCACGCTAGCCAAAGAGGCCTCCGAAGAGAATCCCAAGGCGGCTCGAGAGGGCCCCACGACGTCCCAAGAGATCCCCAGGATGGCCCAAGAGGCGCCCAAGACGACCCAACATGGTCCAGAGATGGCCCATTACAGTCGCACTTGAATTGGTGGGTCGGGTCTGCCAAAGACAGATATCGGGGGAGCGTAAGACCCGGGTTTGCCAGGACTCGGGTTCGCCATCGTTCTTTGACGACCGCGCCTCGGATTTTGACGAGGAGGAGTTTCGTGGGATGTCTGCAGCGGGAGGCCTCGTCAAAATGCAGGCTCGGCCTCGTCCTTTTTTTGACGACCTCGTCGAGGATTCCCGAGTCCCCTGTACCCAGGTCTTACGTCCCCCTGAAGATGTCGCGCGTCGTGCCTCTCTGCACTCCTCGGGCAAGGGCACCCTCGTGTCCTGCCGACGTCCGCGGGCGTCGGCGGCCTGGCCCCCCTTGCGGCGCCTCGGGCGTGCGCGCATCGCGGGGAGGGGTCGTGGCCCCCCATCAGTGGCATCTGCGTGTGTCCTCTCAGATTTGGGGGCTCACGCTCGAGAGGAGGAGGAGGAGGAGGAGGAGGAGGAGGAGGAGGACGAGGAGAAGGAGTAGAAGGAGGAGAAGGAGGAGAAGGAGGAGGACCGATGTGATACTCTGATCTCAGCGCCGCGCCGCCGGAGCCGCGGCGAATGGTATACTCCACGATGTTCTCTGAGTGCGGCCGCGCCGCCAGTGAGCCAACGACGCGTTGACTCGAGGTCGCCCCCTCGCAGCAGGGTACCCCTCGGTCGTTGAAAGTAGGTCAGAGTGAGGGGGCCGAACTGTCATTCATTGTCCCTGGGTGCGTGGCTCAAGTGGGGATCCGTGTTGAGGATTCTGCTTGATGCGTTGTTGTTGTTGTTGTTGTTGGTGGTGGTGGTGGTGGTGGTGGTGGTGGTGGTGGTGGTGTTGTAGTTGTTGTTGTTGTTGTTGTTGTTGTTGTTGTTGTTGTTGTTGTTGTTGGTGGTGGTGGTGTTGTTGTTGTTGTTGAACATTATTTATTCTAAAGAATAATTATTGTTGGGCCCCCTGGTGCGCGCCCCCCCTGCGCCGCCTAGGCCGCAGCTACATTTTCATCATTTTCGTGAGGAAGCCTCAGGTAAAACGATGTGATCCAGATCCGGTTGTTTTGTTGTAATCCGTTTTCCCTTGCAAAAAACACTATAAAATGACATTTCTTGTTCTAATATAATCAAATTTCAAGAATCCCTTGCAAAAAATAAGGTAAAGTGGACATTCGCGCGCGCAAGACGAAATCCTTCCAAAAGCTTAGTGTTCGGAGCGATTTTAACATAAAAACATCAAAAAACCAATGGTTTTTCAACAAAAAAATGTCAAAATCTCATCCCGCGCGCTCTTGCGGATTCGTAGGAAACCCAACACTTTTTAAACATTTCTGTCAAACGGGCTTTTGCGAGCAACTTTTTCGAACTTCTGCGACAACGGTTGCGCACCTGCCAGGGCCATCATCCCTGTCAAATAATACCATGCGGGACACATTCGTTTTTTCTTCGCGCGCGCACGCCGAAATCTCCAAAAACCATTGGGCTTCTTAAGAATTTTAGCACCGCGCATCATAAAATCACACGAATCGCACCGTAGGTCCTCGAAAAACACCTGCACGACTTTTCAAAATTTCCACCCGCGCGCGCTGTCCGAATCCTAAAAAAACCAATGGTTTTCCAACATTTATGTTACATGAGCTCGCGCGAGCTACTTTCGCACGCTCTTGCAACGGGGTTCGCGCGCCTGCCAGGGGCCATAATCCCTTGCGGTTGCGCCATAGGTTGCGCCCTCGGCCGCCGAGAATAAAACGCCCCCCTATTGGTTGCGCCATAGGTTGCGCCCTCGGCCGCCGAGAATAAAACGTCCCCCTACTGGTTGCGCCATAGGTTGCCCCAGGAGGCCTTCAAGAGGCCCCAAGAGCCCGCCGTGAGGACCCAATAAGCCCCCAAGAGGCCCCAAGATGCTTCCAAGAAGCCCCCCAAAGCCCCTCAAGAGGACCCCAAGCGGCGCCAGGAGGCTTCCCCCCTTCCCCAAGAGGACCCCAAGCGGCCCCAGGAAGCCTCCGACTGATCACTGTCACATCCGTAGCCATCTCGGATCAAGGTATCGCCTGTGTTCTTGGATGGGTCATGGCTTTGTCGGCGAAAGCCCTTGACGACCAGTATGGCCCAGAGCTGTCGCGGCCTCCCTTGGCCGACTGCGAGAGCCCGTATTATTTGCATCAGGCGCTCGTTGCAAAGGGTATCCAGGTCAGTCACCAGGCGTGCAAGACTTGGTGGGGCAAATATCGGGTTGTGCCTGGCAAGGTTAGTATTTCTAGCGCCCAGGAGCTGGAGGAGCAGCACGGTTCTGCCATCCGCCACCTGGGCATCGAGTATAATACACCTGTCAAATTATGCGGGGCGCTCCGACAGTTGGATCCACCACTGTATGTGACAGATCAGGTCGCAGTATTGCGCAGCTTGCAGTATTGCGCCCGGTGCGTGCCATTAGGGACAGGCGCATGCCAGAAGACGATGAGCACACAGACTCGTCTCTTTAGTATGCTTCCAGAGCACGTATGCGTCCGCCTCGCCTTGTCCTGCTGCTCCTCCTCCTCCTCCTCCTCCGGCGGGGCACCCATGGGGACAACCATCGGGACCACCATCGGAACAACCATCGCGGCAACCATGGGGACAACCATCGGGACAACGATCGGGACAACCACAACCATCAGGACAACCATCGGGACAACCATCGGGACATCCATCGGGACAACGATCGGGACCACCATCGGGGCAACCATCGGGAGAACCATCGGAACAACAATCGGGACAATCATCGGGACACTCATCGCGACAATTATCGGGACAACCACAACCATCAGGACCTCCAACCAGAGAGAGGTAGTCACGTGTATTTCGTCGACGAGTGAGCCAGTATTGCACATTGAGGCCGGAACGAGAACCACAGAACAAGAATGAGCATATATCGTCTCACAACAACGGAAACAAGTCCTGTGGTATGCTGGCGCCACGCACGTGATACCAGTCAAAATAAGGGTCTTGGCTTGTGTGGTACAGAAACGTTAAAACGTCGGAAAACGGTACACGTGCCCATTGTTGGAACAGGGGTATAAGTCGTATACTAAGCTAGTTTCCACAAGATGTTACCACAAGAAGTCATTGTAACCATGCGCCAGTGTAGTAGCCAAGGTCGTCCGCAGGCCACGAAGTGAAGTGTCCGAACGTCATAGGGCGGGAAGCTGGGTGTGGGTGGTGGCGAAGAGTCGTTTGGAAACTTGGTAGAGCTTGAACCGGCCCCCCCACAAAGTGGGGGCATTGCCCGCCTCCTATGAAAACCCTGGCACTGGTGAGAACGGAGTGTCCCCAGTCTTAAATGATTGTTGTTGTTGTTGTTGTTGTTGTTGGTGTTGTCGTCGTCGTTGTTGTTGTCGCTGAACTCTCCCTACTGAAGAATCATGTTTGTTGATCCCCACCTCCGGTACGCATTGTTTTTTTCAATTGAAATGCCCCTCCTGGCGCTCGCATCCTGTTTATCATGAGGGAAAGTCTTCGTCCTCAAGCTGTGTTGTTGGCCCTGGGGTTACAGCAACAACAACTCCCGCCTGAGACATCCTCACAATTTATCCAGGACCCCCGCTCCCGACCCACCCGCGACCCACCCGCGACCCACCCGCCATTTACCCACATTTGTTTAACGAAACGAAAATATTCGCGCCTGCGGCGGGCTCGTTGTAGAATTTGTGAAACTATGGCGCCTGCGGCGGGCTTCTCCAGAGTCTCGCAAACTGCCGACGTCCCCACCGCCCTCTCACTCTTACCCGCATCTGCGGGGTGCTAGGTATTTTTGGGGTCCAAGGTTCCAATCTACTTTAAGCGCCTTCCTACTTCAATGATCGAGTGGCTTCACATTTTCCGCCCTCCCAAGGGGGTGGACGGATCCCAATCTATTTTCAACGCCCTGTTACCCCATGTTTCTACCTACTTCTTCCGACCGATGGGTACTCGTGTGTCCTGGGCTTGCCCAGCCCTGCAAGTCCATTCGTCGACGCATTCGGGCAGGGGTCGCAGGGCGCGCAAAGGGTACCCTGCTGCCCTGTGCATTGGCTCCACTTTGGCGGCCCCTGGGAGCTGCAGTGGAGGCGCGCGCTTGGCAGAGTCATGCGGGAGCTCGCGTTTCCTTGGGGCCTGTCAACGTCGGAACTGTCATCATATTCGCACGTTGTTGAGAGGCCCGGCGGAGCTACCCAACGGTCGTCGGCCTGTCCCGCCATCGTTTTTGGGGGTCGTGGATCAGAGTCCTCAAAGGATGCTTCTTGCGGTCTCTTGGGAGCCTCTTGGAGCTTCTGGGGCATTCTGGGGGCCTTCTGGGACCTCTTGGGGGCCTCTTGGGGGGCCTACTGGGGCCCCAGGGCAGGCCCAGCAGGCCCAACTCTGGAGCCCTCCCTCCCCTCCCGCCCTTCCCACGGCCAGCAGGACCCCGGGAAACCCCCCCAGAGTTTCTAAAACGGCCTCAGGGAC